GGCACGCGAAATGGCTTGAGGGCAGCAGACAGTAACGAGGGCAGACATGGCCCTGAGGGGACGCTTTCGGAGGTCATGTAGTGGATCATTCCAATCACGAAGGCTATATAAAAGCAAGGTACGCAAGAAGGAAGTAGTTGTCTACACTGTCATGATCGACAATAGTGATCAAGTGTTCGTATCAATCTTCCTGTGTTTCGCATCATTATTATATTTTATTCATTTTCTGTTACAATTTATTCTTCCTTTCGTTCTTTTGTATTGGTTTTTAGTAGTTTAAATTTCTTCAAGTTCTATTATTTAAAGTTGTTTCAGTTTATTTATTGTAATAATTCTTTACCTGTGTTGGTTAGGGGGTCACTATTGGTCTTCTGAACCAGCGGTTTTTTCATTTATATTATATATTGCTTCTCAAATAAAGAATTAACAAATCAAATCAAACATCGTTGAACTTTACCATTCTAAGCTAACGTAAGCAAATACAGTCCTCAAATTATATAGTGTTGCAAGTATCGGCGACTACGATTGCTTTAAAAAGAGTAGAAGTTTGGTTCCCCATAGGGACACTGTAGAGGAGTTGTGCTCAACTCCCCAATTGAATTGACGGTCGGTAGTCGCGACAAGCAGATACATCAAAAATTGTTTATACTTTTTTTGCCATCTATAGGTGTACACTGCAACAAACTATAAAATTGTTCTTTTTCATTCAATTGTCACTACGGTAACTTACTTAAAAAAACTAGAAATTCTTTCACATAAAATAGACGTTGTTACACTGTACCGTTCCAGGAAAAGACAGTTGTGAGAGAATAGGAGAGTTTAGGAGGAGACGAAAAAGGAGTTAGCGTAAGCTAAATGACTACCAGACATCTGAAACTTTAGCCGTTTTTTTAAAACCTTTGTCAATAACTTTGGTAAACAAACTTTTACCGTCGTATTTTTGCGTCCAATTAACAGTAAAAATAGGCAGATTTAATAACACTTGATAAACAATGATTGCCAAATACACGGAGACATGCGTTAAAAATGGAAAAATTATTTCCATTCACACGGCATTAAAACTTTTTCTTTAACCAGTCATTTTTTTACGTCTTATAATTTAGCAAATACTCATGTTATAGGCAAAAAATAGCAACAAATCATCCGCTATTTTTTGCAAAAGAACTAAATTAGTTTTCTAAGCTTATCAGATCGACGTTTTTCGTAAATATGTTAGAAAAGTTTATTTTGCGGATGGAAATACATTTTTCATTTTTATAGATTTTTTTAGCGAAATAATTATCTTTAATTTATAATAATAAGAACAGTCATTACAATTCTGATAACTAATCTTTGACATAGGTATGTCGCATGTGCACTGGAGGAAACTTGCATGAGGGCTTCATTTCTTTTCGTATGCATATTTCAAAATGACGATCGTTACAGGTAATTCGGAGATTTATCTGCAACTCTGATTTGTTGCAATTTCTTTCACGGTATTTTCAAACAAACTGTAGAAAACTAAAAGAAAGATCACTGCT